ACTTAAATATTTACAGGTGCTTACATATTCAGATATTATTTAGTAACCCATTACCACACTGTAGGGCGGAAATATAGCGCTGATCCATAACGCTGATTTCCATGAGGTTCCGGTTATGGTCAAGGACAACGCCTATAATTTGCGGTGACGATCAGATAATAATTTTGGGATGAAGTAGACCGAAACTTATTTTTATTGTGTTTTTGCAAGTCGATCTATATGCTACAATTATAAGCACAATATTTCACTGGAGAATGAATCTGGCCAACTAATTTGAGGGGCTTTTGTAATGATCTGTCACTATTCAGCGGGTCAAGTCAACCAAGAACATTCTGTGTAAAATGAAAAAAATTGGATATTATGATATAAAACTTAATTCATGGCAAGAATAGGAGGTTAAGAGGGACAAATATCGCGAAATATTACCCATTCTTGGAATATAGATCTGTAATAAATTAGAGTTCCGTGGTAGTTGTGTAGGGTAGCATATGGTCGGCCCCGTCCGACTATAATGCTCCGCTCACTGGTTATAATTTATAGTGGATATATTTGCTACCTAATAAGAAATCGAAATACCCAATTACAGTCAATTCGGTCGAAAAATACGATCAGAACCCCCAAAATACTGAAAATTTTGGGGGTACCATTTTATGGGGACTGCCAGAAAAAGTGGACCTATATTTATAATTTTTAGTGGACTAATTTTGTACCCTAAATGTCAGCGAATTCAGTTATAAACGCGCCAAGGAACCCAAAAATATCGAAAATTGGGGGTAACCTTGTATGGGGGATATCCGAAAAAATTGACCTATATTTATAATTTTTAGTAAGAAGATTTGCTACACAATAAGCGATCTATCTGTTAACTATTTAGACGCTAGAGTGATTACAACAGACGGACAGACGGACATACTTAAATCGTCATAGAATTTTACGCTGATCAAGAATATATACACTTTATAGGGTCGGAAATGATTATTTCGATGCGTTACAAACGGACAAACAAAACTAATATACCCTCCATACTATGGTGGAGGGTATAAAAGTATTTTTGTTTTGGCATTTCTACTCGAGTTTTAAGCAAAGACATAGAAACCATAAAGACTCGACAAAATGCTTTTTGACAAAATAGTTTATAAAAAATATCAAGGGGGAATCAGGTATAACAGAGGCATGTTAACAATAAAAACGTCAATACGCGATAATGTGTTTATAAAATACTAGCATATGCCCGCAACTTCGTTAGTGAATGTAGGAAATATTTAAAAATGTGTTAACATATTATTTTATTTTCACAGCAAACTGCATATGTCAGAAAAAAAAATCCACACATTAATATCGACCATAAATTAAATTTGAATACCATTTAGTACCAAATCTAAAGGTTTAGTATTAAATCTAAAGGTTCACCCAAATCCAAATTTTCTATTTAGCACACATTATTTCCAAAAGTACCCTCTTCAACCATCCAACAAAACTTCATGCATACCCCGATCCTACAGCCCTACAATGATTCCAAATTCAAATTTCAGGATTCCAACTCTATCTATTGGTTCACCCACAATTTAAATTGTACCAAATTTAGTACACGGTAGTACGAATTTTCAAAACTTCCTACATACCCCAATCCTACACCTCGATAGTGATTCTAAATCCAAGTTTCAGGATTCCAATACTTTAGTACACAGTAGTACGAATTTCCAAAACTTCCTACATAACCCAATCCTACACCTCCACAGTAATCCTAAATCAAAATTTCATGATTTCAACTTTATCGCTTCACCCACAATTTAAATTGTACCAAAATTTGGTACACTTTAGTGACTCCAATTTTCATGATTCTACCTCTATTGGTTCACCTAAAATTCAAATTTTACCAAGTTTAGTACCATTTAGTACCCATAAGTATTAAGTTGTAAAACTGAATCTTGACCCTAATCCTACATCCCCAAAAATTATCCTAATTCCAAATTTCATTGTTCGAGCTCTATCGGTTCACTTAAATACAAGTTGTACAATTTGTAGTACCATTTAGAACTTTTCGTACAAATAAGTAAAATTTTTTCAAAACTACGTACATATCTTAATTCTACACTCCGACGGAAATGTTACTTTTCAAATATAGTACCATATAGTACTTTTCATACACATGAGTACACGCTTTCCTCATATCGAACAAATTTAGTACATTTCAGTACTTTTCGGATACTCATAGTTCGAATTTCCAAAAGGCCCTTTGCTACATCTATTCTACACTCCATCAGTGACCCTCAATCCAAATTTCACAGTAGTACGAATTTCCAAAACTTCCTACATAACCCAATCCTACACCTCCACAGTAATCCTAAATCAAAATTTCATGATTTCAACTTTATCGCTTCACCCACAATTTAAATTGTACCAAAATTTGGTACACTTTAGTGACTCCAATTTTCATGATTCTACCTCTATTGGTTCACCTAAAATTCAAATTTTACCAAGTTTAGTACCATTTAGTACCCATAAGTATTAAGTTGTAAAACTGAATCTTGACCCTAATCCTACATCCCCAAAAATTATCCTAATTCCAAATTTCATTGTTCGAGCTCTATCGGTTCACTTAAATACAAGTTGTACAATTTGTAGTACCATTTAGAACTTTTCGTACAAATAAGTAAAATTTTTTCAAAACTACGTACATATCTTAATTCTACACTCCGACGGAAATGTTACTTTTCAAATATAGTACCATATAGTACTTTTCATACACATGAGTACACGCTTTCCTCATACAAATTTAGTACATTTCAGTACTTTTCGGATACTCATAGTTCGAATTTCCAAAAGGCCCTTCGCTACATCTATTCTACACTCCATCAGTGACCCTCAATCCAAATTTCAAAGTTCTAGCTCTACTGGTCCGCCAAATACAAATGGTATCACATTTAGTACTTTTTGTACCTTTCGTACCGTTCTAGTACGCATTTCGAAAAACTCAGCCGTTTCGTCTGGGCGTTGATGAATCGTTAAATCAGTCAGTCAATCACTTTACTCTTTACTCAAAATATATTTTTTTATTTAATAAGCTTGCTATATAGCGCTTAGAATGTTTAATATTGTTCGCTCTGTTGTTATGATATCGTAACCACAGAGGAAAAGCCATCTATTGGAATTTGTCGACGTATTAATTGTCGTATCTTTATACTTTTATGTCTTTGTTTTAAGTACTTCATTGTGGTACAGGGTATTATGTCTTTGTGTATATGTTTGTAACAGGCAAAAGGAAACGAGATAGACACACGGTTCCTTTTGAGAATATGCATAGAATCACTTTCTGAGTCGATTTATGCATGTCCGTCCGTCCGTCTGTCCGTCTGTAGATGTTAATTTGGCACAAGTCACTTATTTGGCCCAAGGACGAACCCTATTGAAATTGGGAAAAATCGGTTCAGATTTAGATATAGCTCCCATATATATTTTCGTCCGATTTAAGGTAAATGAGGCACCAAAGTCCATCTATATCTTTCGATTTGCATGAAATTTGGCATAGAGTACTGAATTAGGTCCAGAATGATGTGTGACAAGTTTCGAGAAAATCGGTTCAGATTTAGATATAGCTCCCATATATAGTGTCGTCCGATTTCATGTAAATGGTGCACCAAAGCCCCTATATATCTTTCGATTTGTACGTTATTTGGCATATCGTACTGAATTGATCCTAGAATGATGTCTGCCAAGTTTCATGAAAATCGGCCCAGAATTATATATAGCTCCCATATATAGTTTCGTCCGATTTCATGTAAATGGTGCACCAAAGTCCCTATATATCTTTCCATTTCCACGAAATTTGGCATGACGTATTGAATTGAGCCTAGAGCGATGTCTGCCAAGTTTCGTGAAAATCGGTTCAGATCTAGATATATATTTTGTTTTCCGATTTAATTTAAATAATGTGCCAAAGTTCTTATGTTGCATAGCGTACTGAATTTAGTCCAGAATTGTGTGTGCCAAGTTTCGTAAAAATCGGTTGAGATTTAGATATAGCTGATATGAAGTAATTGACGCACCAAAAAACCAATATATGGCTGATGGGAATTAAACGTACCGAAATTAGTATATCTTAACCTGTGACAAGTTTCGTTGAAATCGTTTCATATTTGGGTATAGCTTCCATATATATTTTCGTCCGATTTTAAGTAAATTGTACATCAAACTCCTAATGTTTGTCAGATTGACATCAAATATAGCACAACATACAAAATTGAGCCTAGAATAACGTAGTTACGTTTTCTGGAAGTACAGACATAGCCCAACGGATGACCTATTGATATTTGTTTGAAGTCGATTTTCATACTTTTGTCCCAAACGAATGACATGTTTATGGATAGATCTAGTCCGATTCACATTTAGATAAATAACACATATTTTAATTCATCCAATTTCATCTTAATAGTCCTGTTTAATATACCCATTGTGGTGAAGGGTATCATATAGTCGGCCCCGTCCGACTTTACTACTTTCCTTACTGGTTTTTGAATTAATTAAATCAAAATTCACAAATGTGACAACAACATTTTCGATGCAATACAACAATTTAGGCACGCTTATAATTATTTATTCATGCCCTTTTATAGCACTTCTAAGCACCAATTGATTCGGTGTGAGCATTTCATAAATTCACATGAAACTAATATAGACAATTGATGATAATAGGGGAAAAATATAAACAAAGAAAAAAATCAAAACTATTTGTATTCATTACACCAAACAATTATTATTATTTTTTTATTTAATAGTTTGGCGGAATGGTTCACAACAATTAATACAAATATGTACATTGAGTGAAGGTGGGGTGGTTGCGATGGTGTAGCCAAATATAATATGCATTCTACGAAACTTATAATTAGTACAACAACAAAAACAACAATAATAAAAATAATTAGAATATTTATTAATTTTAATTGATTGCCTTCCACACATGGAAGCTTTCCAAATACTGGAATATTTGATTATATCGCTCAAAAGGCACCGCGATTATATAGCCATGGTAAAAGCATTTCACAGTGTTTACGATAACGTGCCCCCGAAAACATTTGCATTTTGAATTTAATTCCAACATCGGATTCCGAGAAGAAATTATCGAACATAGCATGTTCATTGGGATCCAGCAGAACGGCAGCCATAACACCGGTCATTGTGGCATAGCCTGTGGAGAAAAAATGTTAACAAAAATTAAATATTCAGAAGACGTTAATTTATAGAAGACGTTTTTGAAAATATGCTATAGACTGAAGACTCTTCTAAAGACCATTTATAGGGAGACAAATTATCTTCCAAAAAATTAGTAGACAAAAGTCTTGTCAATACTTATTCTATGGACAGACAGAAGACCTTTTGCAATGCTTTCTATGGAAGAAGAACCTCTAAACGCATGTCTATGTCAATGTTCTCTTTAGAAGACGTTTTAGATCGCTCAATATTAAAAATGTAACATTTCACATTTTGAATTCTCATACTTTTATAAAGATCTATAAGCGTGGATTTTTTAACAAATATTTTTGGAAGTGTGACAAGTGTGAATTTAAAAAAAATATTTTTTTAGAAGAATCTTTAATAAATATTTTTTGAAGGTAGATTTTTGTTGATTTTTTAGAAATAAATTTTGAAGGATCGATTAGCGTCGATTTTTTTTAATACTTTTCTGAAGGATCTATAAGCGTGTCAAAATGTCCTTTATAGAATTTTTCCATTAACGTACTTTCTAGACAGCAATCCATTTGAAAATACAAACATATTTATGAATATTAAAGTATTTTCAAAACTTACCCCACAAACCATATTTATACAACATTATATGTAAATCCTTTAAACTGATAATCTTCTTCGAATAATTCAACAATTTCAGGTATTCCACCAAACGATCATGATAGTATTTGATAAAATATTCAAATTGTTTCGTTTTCAATTCATATTTCGTTGAAGATATTAGAAAATAGTAAAGATCCTGGGCCGGTGTGCCATATCTTGGTGTTTGAAAATCAATCAAATATGTTTCTTTGATTTTACCAAAGGCATCGTGCTGAAACATCACATTATTCGACCAACAATCACCATGATTCAGAACACAAAAATCACGTTTCTCTTCATCGGCAAGTTTAAGGAAATCTTCCATTAATCTGTCTTTGGCAGCAGTCATGGCTTCGTAGTATTCCTCAATGCCATCATATGATTTGGCGCATTGCAAGAAAATAGTCCATAGACCTTCGAACATACTACGCATCATTTGCTGGGCAGATTCTTTGAGGAAACCCATGCATAAATCCGGGTCGTAGGGCCCCTTGGTGGCAACGCGCACCGCACTTGCAGCATGCCACAATGCCAATTTGTTAAGCACCGCCTTTGTGTGATCCATATCCAAACCTTCTAGGCGATTTTCGTTTTTAAATCCTCTCGTACTTAAATCTTCCAATAGAATGTAGGGACTCTGTACATCTAAATCATAGGATTTTGCACCGAATTTGACATCGAGACCAACTTCACGATACATTTCTTCAAATTCGGGTATCACTTCGCGATAGATCTCTGATTCGGTTTCGAAGACATTGTGAATTTGCATCATTTGTCGAAATATATTACTATCATGAGCGGTTTTCATCATGAAGGATAGAGTTTTCGATGAACCATCTGAAAAAAAAGGGGGAAATATTTGTTTAAGTATATTTTAGCCGTAAATAATTAAAAGCTTAAATATATGTACATTATTTGTAGAAGGAATGCACAATAGTTTTTTAGTAGAAAAGTTTTTTAGTAGAAGAAAATTTTTAAAATTATTTTTAGAATGTGTATATTACTTTCAGACGGTATGGATTTTTAAATAATTCTTATAGGTGCAGTTTATTAAAGCTTTTTATAGTTGTGGATTTTTAAAGTTTTTTATAGGCGTTGCTTTTTTTAATATTATATATATATATATATATATATAAAAAAGGATTTTCTAAAACTATTGTTAAAGGTTGGGATTTTAAAATTGTTTATAGTAGTTAATATAAGTCGTGGATTTTTATACCCTACACAACTATGTTGTCGGGGTATTATAGCTTTGTGCAATTTTGATCCTAGACCCACCTTGAGGTATACCCTATCGTCATATCCCGACTAGCTGAGTTGATCCAGACATGTGTGTCTGTCCGTCCACAATTATGGACCAATCTTCACAAAATTTTGCATGTAGAATGGGTTCTGGCGAATGAAGACCACAATTTTTAAAGACCAAAAACTGTATTTTTGTCTGATATTCTGGTCGCTCCAGAGGGCGCAATTATGGACCAAAATTTTGCATGGAGAAGAGGATTGGGCCATGGAATAAGCATGCCTGTTTTGATAGAGATCGGCCAATATTTGCGAGTCAAATAGACCCTGACTTTTGTGTGAAAAATGACAGAATTAGTATTCTATGGCCTATATATTTACTCCTGAAGGACATAGACCTGAGAAGTTGATAGCATATCCAGGAGGAGTGGTTGACCTTTAAATTGAATTCAATTATATTGTCGTATGTACTCGAATGTGGGTGTTACACTTAAATATTTACAGGTGCTTACGTATCCATATACTAGCATATACCCGCTACTTCGTTAGCGAATGTGGGAACTATTAAAACCCTATAAGAAAAAGATAGAAATTTATCTCTATACAAAATCTGGTATAACTTTTTACCCTTTGTACTCGTGTAAAATTTCCAAATTTCAAATATAGCTTCACCAAAATCCAAATTAAGTACCAGTTAGTAAACATTAATATAAATTGCCATAACTACCTACTTTAACAATTATAAATACGAATTTCCAACACTTTCCACATACCCCAATCTTAATTTTAAATTTCAAGATTCTATCGGTTCACCTAAATCCAAATTTGGTACCATTTAGTACACATTAGTACGAATTTTCAAAACTTCCTACATAGCTCAATCTTACATCCAATTGTATCAAATTTAGTACAAATTTCCCTTTCATGCAATCCAATGGAAATCTTATTACTCAATTTCAGGTTTCCAGCTCTATCGGTTAACTTTTAATCCAAATTTAGTGTCATTTAGTCGACATTTCCAAAACTTTCCGCATACACCAATCCAACACCCCAATAGTTATACCAACTTCACATGTCAAGATTCGAGCTCAAATTTGGTACCATTTTGTACAAATTAGTACGAATTTCCAAAACTTTATACATACCTGTATCCTACATCCCAATAGTGATCCTAACGTCAAATTTCAAGATCCTTATTTGGTACCAGTACAAATTTACAGTACAAATTTCTACATATTCAAATCCTACATCCCTACAGTAACCCTAAGGACAAAAACAAGGTATAGTCGCATTTATGATCCGAATGAGATGAAATTTGGCACAGCTCACTTATTTGGCTCATGGACGAACCCTATTGAAATTGGAGAAAATCGGTTCAGATTTAGATATAGTTCCCATATACATATTTAATGTAAATGGTGCACCAAAGTCCCGAAATTTAGCATAGCGTACTCAATTGAGTCTCGAATGATGTGTGCTAATTTTCTTAAAAACCGTTCCAGATTTAGATACAGCTCCCATAGGCATTTCGTTTTCTCTTGGAAGCCCCGATCGATTCAAACATTCATGTCATTCATGGTGGAGGGTATAAAAAGTTCGACCCGGCTGAAATTGACGACCTTATCACTTATTTTGTGCTTTTTATACCCTCCACCACACTGTGTATTATGTCTTTGTGCATATGTTTGTAACAGGCAAAAATAATCGAGATAGACCCATGGTTCCTTTTGAGAATATGCATAGAATCACTTCCTGAGTCGATTTACGCATGTCCGTCCGTCCGTCTGCCCGTCCGTCCATGTATTTTTGTTAACAAAGTGCAGGTCGCATTTATTATCCGATTTGGATGAAATTTGGCACAGGACACTTAATTAGCCCAAGGACGAACCCTATTGAATTTGGAGAAAATCGGTCCACGTTTAGGCATAACCCATATAAGGCTACCCCCCAATTTTCGGTATTTTGAGGTTATTGAGCGCGTTTTTTGACTGGATTCGCTACCCCCAATTTTGCCGTAATTTTGGGGTTTTGATCGCAGTTTTCGACCGAATTCGCTGAAATTTGGTACAGTTGGTACATATAAGGCTACCCCCAATTTTGCCGTAATTTTGGGGTTTTGATCGCAGTTTTCGACCGAATTCGCTGAAATTTGGTACATTGAGTTCTTATTGGGTAGCAAATCTCTCTACTAAAAATAGGTCAATTTTTTCGGGTAGTCCCCATATAAGGGTACCCCCAATTTTCGGTATTTTGGGGTTCTTTAACGCGTTTTTCAACCAAATTATAAGGTATTATGTCTTTGTGCATATGTTTGTAACAGGCAAAAGGAAACGAGATAGACACATGGAATCACTTTTTAAGTCGATTTATGCATGTCCGTCCGTCCGTCTGTCCGTCTGTCCATGTATTTTTGTGAACAAAGTACAGGTCGCATTTATGATACGATTTGGATGAAATGTGGCATAGGTCACTTATTTGGCCCTATATATCTTTCGATTTGCATGAAATTTGACATAGCGTACTGAATTGCGTCTATAATAATGTATGCAAAGTTTCGAGAAAATCGGTTCAGATTTAGATAAAGCTCCCATATATATTTTCGTCCGATTTTATGTAATTGGTGCACCAAAGTCCCTATACTGAATTAAGTCTAGAATGATGTTGCTAAGCTTCGCGAAAAAATCCATTGCTAGGCCGATTTACACAACGTACTGATGTAATATAAATTAGTCTCTGCCAAGTTGCCCTGAAATCGGTTCAGATATATTCTACATATGTTTGGATACATATGTAGAATATACCCAAAGTGGTGAAGGTCTATATGATAGTCGGCCCAGTCCGACTTTACTACTTTCCTTACTGGTTCTCTTTTGCGAATGGCGGACACGATAACTCAAAAACTAATAACCCAATCGAGTCCAAATTTTTACACGTTTCTCTGTGAGTGTATAACTCTCGTATGAACTAGGATAAAGCCAATCGGTGAAGATCTTCCTTATTTTTTAACTTGGTTTTTGATCAAAACTCGGCGATCAATAATCCTAGTTCATACGAGAGCCAGACATGTACTCTTTCTAACACCGTTGGAATTTTCGGATTCCCATGTTCCAGTGAGGAGTTATCATGCCCGCCATCAAAAATAAGGAATTTTCTTTAATTACAAAAAACAACAACAACAAAACAATAACAAAATTTTTTGTAAATAATTTTTCCTCTTTTTTAAATCTTCAAATATATATGTGCAAAGTTACATTTCCATAACTACCTACTTTAACACTAGAACGCCGAAGGCAGTCATTTTGACCGCTTTCCAATTTCAAGTACAAAAGTAACTGTGCATTTAATGACACTTTTTTTAAAATTTGGTGAATTTTTTATAATAAACGTAAGTCTATGAAGTACAAAAAGTCACCAAATTTTAAAAATAAGTGTCATTAAATGCACAGTTACTTTTGTACTTGAAATTGGAAAGCGGTCAAAATGACTGCCTTCGGCGTTCTAGTGTTAAAGTAGGTAGTTATGGAAATGTATATTAATGTGTACTAACTGATACTAAATTTTGGTAAACCTATATTTGAAATTTGGATTTTCGAAGTATTACAAAAGTGCGGTCAGAATTGGTGTGTAGGGTTGAGATATGAAGGTAGTTTCGGAAATACGTGTATAGGTATTAAATGGTTCTAAAATTTTAATAATATCTATCTATATATATAAAAATGAATTTCTGTTTGTTTGTTAGTTTGTTTGTTTGATAGGTGTTCCCTATAGACTCCTAAACTACTGAACGGATTTTCATGAAATTTTCACAGTCGATTTTTGAGTACATTTGTGGTAACATAGGGTACTTAATTTTTTGATGGGGGCAGGGGAAACAGTAGCCCCCATACAAATTGCCCCCTTTTTAGATCAGAATTGGCCATTATAGCAGAGAATTGGAATTGGCAATTATAGCAAAGTGTTAGTAAATATACAAACCACAGATGTTTACTAAGTTCACAAACCACAATTATGTAGGTGTTGCCAATTCACAATTTGTTTTTATGACAATGATAAAGATGGAAATATCTGAATCAAAAAAGTGATACTGATGACAGAGTTCGTACAATTCGAGTACGCAGAGATTTCAATAATGTGGACTCTATACACAAAATAGTACTGTACACATTACTGATGACAGAATTCGTAAAATTTGAGCACGAAGCGATTTAAATAATTTGGATTATATACACAAATTAGTACTGTACACATATTTGCCCTCTTTATACCCTTCACCAGGGTGTTTCAGGGTATTATGACTTTGTGCATATGTTTGTAACAGGCAAAAGAAATCGAGATAGACCCATGGTTCCTTTTGAGAATAAGCATAGAATAACTTTCTGAGTCGATTTATGCATGAAATGGTACCTATATATATTTCGATTTGCACGAAATTTTTTGGTATAGCCTACTAAATTAGGTCAAGAATAATGTGTGCTAAGTTTCGTGAAAATCGGTTCAGATTTAGATATAGCTCCCATATATAGTTTCGCCCGATTTTAGGTAATTGGTACACCAAAGTCGCTATATATCATTCGATTTGCACGAATTTTGGCATA